AATAAGGAATCAATGGAGATAGAATAGTCCAAAAGAGTTTCCATAACTCTGGCACCTATAACACACTGCTAATGGTCTGAAAAGATAATATGTAAACTGAAAGTACTGGTGGAAGGGTGTACTGCACTCATGTTGTTTTCTATTTTCAGTTGTGTGGAACCAATAGGTATATATCATTGCCAAACTTCTCAGTGAAAGGAAATATCTACACTGATCCTCCTGTTTTAGAAGTGAGGAAGGCAAAGTCCAGAGAGAACAAGTGACTAGCCCAAGGCCCCAGGGTTACTTGGCAGCTGTGCTAAAGACAGAGGCACAGGCCTCCTCCTGACTTCCAGGCTGATCTTTTGGTTCATTTCTCTGATAGGTTGAATGCCCTCATTAGAGTCACAATGAAGCCTTGTTTACTAACACTGTGTACTGCTCATACCTTGACACTGAACTTCAGTTCTCACCCTGTAAAATATCTACAGTCTAGCAAAAGAATGTGGCCACATAAAGACAGGTGCAAAGCAACTTACAATTCTTTGGTGCCCTTAACTAGAGATATAAGTTCAAGGATTAGCTTGACTATCTGACCTGACAGTTTGATTTCTATAGGTGTGACCCGTTCTGTCTCATGATGAATCAAACTAAACCAATGAACCGGTATCTGGCTTGATCTGATTCTGGTGAACAAATGCAGTAGTCCGACCTGGCTCTCAGAATGCTATCACAATATCAGATGACAGATTTTTCTCTTATTGCATCTGATAAATTTAATAAACCCCACATTTCATATATAAAGTCCTCTGGAAAAAACAAACTGCACCTGCAGCTTATCTCCTACCGACACTGAAAAAGTGATTTATTCTTATTGAATGTGGATGCAACATAATATTTCATGTGTTCATGTACAGGGCTCATATGAGGGGTTATTGCCCAAATGGAAACATACAAGTGCTGGAAAGCTCTTTAGTTTTACAGACTGCATATGTAAATTCGGTCATTTTCTAATACTTAAATAAGAATGGACTGGAATTTCTGAACTAGAGGAAACCTGAGGGGACATTTTTGTTCATACCCTCACGGCAGTGATGTAGCTCGATGAGAAATGAAGCGACTTGCTCAAGGTCAAATAGCTGATGTCACCAGGCCTGGAGTAAGAGTCAGGCCCTCCAGCTCCCACGCCAGTGCTCTTTCTTTGTGTTCTCTCTAGTCTAGTCCACAAAGACACTGCTTGGCCAACTCTCCTCTCTAAAGCTGGCAACTCAGAAAATCGGGGTTTCACACAGTTTGCATCCAAGCATGGCCAGAAACAAGACACAACCAGAAAGGGAAAGCTGGAGGGGCAAGAGGACAGGAAAGGAAGAAGTGACCAAATGATGCTAAGCCTTAACCTGCTATAGTTCATCATTCTACTGGTAGTGTGTAGGTTAGGAAAGATAGGAAGGTTGACCATGAAAACTTTTAAGCTTCAGAATATGATAGAGCATAATGGTTCACATCCAGGTCTGTGAAATGTCTATACTAACCACAGTTATGTTACATTTGATAGAGATTCATTTGGCAGAGAAATAAGAATCTCAGAACCTCCTGCTTCTGCCCATAAAGTTCATGCCAACGTGGTCAAAGAAACAGTTCCCTAGGTGACTCAATTTAAAATTCCCCCTGAGTTTTTAATACATATATATATAAGTGCATAGGCAAGTTTCCGAAAGGATTCATGATTCCTTCAGGAAAGAATGGATTAAACATCAAATATTTAGATGAAGGTGAACTTTACTTTCTATTCCTGTGCTATTTTATAATGGCTATACATTCATGTTATTTCTTGTGTGATTTTCAAAACTTAAAAAGAAATGAAAAAAATTAATTACTTTTGACTAACACATTGATCATTTATGGAAAGAATGCTGGTCTGGAGTTGGGTGACCTGCTAAAACCTAGCTGTCATTTAACCTAAAAGGTTCTCTGCTTACTGATTTGTAAAATAAGGTGATTCAATTAGATAATTTGATTCTATGATCCTTCTGGGTAAATGGAGAAGTCCATATGAATTAGACAAAGTCTAAATTAAACAGCACTTAAAAGTATCATTTTCTAATATTAAGGTAAACGCGAAGTGTCTCCAAGTCATCCTTGCTATCTTGTTCAGCTGCAGAAGTCTCCTTTATAAATTGGAAGAACTTATAAAGTAGGGAATTCTAAGGGTACTAGGATGTTTGGAATGATTTTCTGATATCCCCTTTGGAGTCCCAAGCCTTACAATGTACTATGTCAAGGAAGCATGCTTAGAGCTAAAATGGTTTGATGTGCTTTTATCATTTTATCAAAGATACTAAAATCGATTCCATGCTTTGTTTCATTTTTTAGCTATGTTTTTAAGAATATTAATTCTCCCTCGTTGAATGAATAGCCCACTGTAAAGTTCTGTTCTTCTAAGATAACCTCACACATTCCTCCTGAGTATTGCTTATATTTCCTAACAGACTAGCAAACGTATGATAGTACAGAAATAAACTTTACCTTGTCCCTTCTGCATAAATTATAATTCCAAATTAAAGTGGAATTGTGTTAAATAGGTCTAATCAAATGTTCTCAGTTTTCTGTATTTCTTTTTTAATGTGACATTTTCTTCATATCACAGCTTTTGCACTAGCTTGATGATATGGTGAAACATGACTTTTTAACATTAATTTAAAGCAATTTTGCTATACATTTTTATTCTGTCTGGAGTTTAAAATGAAACCTGTACTTATACAAACAGTAAAACAAATGTCTAGATTTTAATAAAAATAATAATAAAAGAAAGCTAATTAAAAGTTAAGTGGATGGGGATTTAATCTCTTTCATCTAAAATCCCTTAGCTTAGATTCCTCATTAGAAGGGTTTCATAAAAACAAGCTGTAAACATTCTCAATAATTAAACATGAATATATGATCTATGAGAAAACATGACCCTTAAGTCATATATGCTTAAATATACAAAAGTACATCTGTACTTGATTCTCTTGCCATTAGCTCCAGCCTCCAGTGAAATGTGTGTGCAACTGTCTTATCCCTATTTCTCCACCATGGATATTACAAAAATGCTTCTTCTCATAAACTATGAAGTATTAATTGATAAGCCACAGGGAACTTACACTATAACATGTCCTTACCAATTAATAATGCTGTTGACTTGGTTCATGAGGACTGAATTATTCATCAGAATCGTTTAACATTATGTCACTGCAAACTAAGAGTTAAGAGACGTTAGAGACAGGACAGGGATGAAGAAAATAGAATAATTTTACTTGTAAACCAAATAACCACCTCAACATAATCCCTGTACTTCCTATACCCAACAGTGGAAGCTCACTTTAAGCCCTATCATTTGCACACAGAAGAGTATGCATGAACACCCAAAATGGTCTAAATGAAGCTGCGCTTTTGTGAGGTAGGGGGACAAATCTGGTTTGGGAGTCAGAGTGCGGGGGTCTTAGTTCTGCTTTTGCTACAAACTAGGATTGCAACCTTTGGCAAGTTACTTCATCCCTCTAGGATCGTTTCTATAAATTCTAAAATGAGGGTTTGGCTTATGAAGGGTTAAGATTTCTTTCAGCTATATTTCATTAGGATTCTAAAATGTCTTAAAAAGTATGAAGATAAAAGCTAGTCTATTTTGATGTATGCTAGAAAAAAAAACACAAAGAAAATGTGATTTGCAAATTTCACGTAAATAATGTATAATCCTCCCCCACCCTAGGCCTTTTGGATCCCTTCCTATCATGTTTAGCATATGAAATTTTGACCACTTAAAACAGTTGCAGTTTGTGATTAGAACAATTATCTGCTGGAGGGGTAAGTGGATACAAAATAAATCAAGGGGCTCATCTCATGTATTCCAAAAACAAGAGCTGTTGCCTAGCACAAGGCAAGAATTTTTAATCACTTGGGATGTTTTGAACTAATTAGTAATTTAAGTACTACTTTTAAGTGATGTTGTTTACTTTGTGTTAAATGTAGAATTAAGCCTGGTGCAGTGGTGTGTAATCCCAGCAACTCAGGAAGCTAAGGTAGGGGGTCACTTGAGCCTAGGACCTATAGCCTGGGCAACATAACAAAACTCCATCCCTTAAAAAAAAAAAAGGAACAGTGCAACTAACCATAATTGAAATGCTTTACCCAAGAGGCCTTATTATAGCAGATTTTTATACAGCAAAATCCTCAAACACAATAGTTCTGACTAAAACCAAATGCTTCCTAATTCTTCCCTCTCCTTTCTATCTTCTCTCTCAACAGGAAGGTTGGTGGTAATTTTTAGCATCTGGGTAATGGTCTACTGATATCCTCAGTGGCTGGGTTTTAATCATCTTCTAGAATTCGGCCTTCCTTTTGTTTCATTTTTATGTAAGAATGACAGAGTTAACTGGAACTACACCTAGCTTTCATAGATTTTCTTCTCTTTAGCGGGTTCCTTCAGTTCTTGCTGCCAAGTAAGCAGGGTGTTTATAAAGGAAGATGACTTAAAGATGACTGAAGACAGATGCTAACTTGAGGGGTTTCTTACTTTCCTATTTTCACAAGGTAGGGTCTTAGAAGGCCAAGTAGCACTAGGAGTCTTCTCTAGGACTGAGTTAACACACAGCCTTGCACTTGCTAAGGGGGAGGGGAGGGGCATCTGGGAGTCACACAGTTGTGTGATGGTATGCACATGTGTGGAGACAGGTGAAATTCATTGCTGTTCAGCTTTCCTGAATCGTGTTTTACCACCTTGGCTAAGAGGAGCTGGCTTGCATTCTGTCTGGCCAGAAAAAGACAAGTAAGATATATATTTAGCTGACAATAAAGATACAATTTCAAGTGAGGACAAAAGAAAAGGGAGTGGGGAAAGCTGAGAATAATAAAGGTCAAGTCATTTTCTTGACTTTTGGGGAAAATGTTAGTTTGTGTGTGTGAGGGGAATTATGTAAATGTGAGTAATGGTGATACCACATTTCTAATGCATATGTCACAGTGAATTAGATGTCTGAGAGTCATCCAATGAGCAATTGTTATTTTTTAAAAAAGCTATCATCTGTAGGGAGAAAAGAGGTCCTGACAAAATGCTGCCCTCTCAAACATACTGACTCCATACAGAATGGAATATTTCATAACCTATACTGAAATACAAGCATGTAATTCAGAAACCACTCAACAGATCTAAAAGTTTCAAAGTTATAAATCATTATTTTCAAACAAGGGTCACTTAATAAAATCTAATCCTGGTAAATAACTGTTGGCTCTGGACTTTACATCTCATGCCACCATTCGCAGGTGGAAGACATAGTATGCTCTGTGTGATCTGTCATTTCACTTTTAACAAAATGCTAGCCCCTAATGAAATTATACTTTTTCATACAATATTTAACACAACGATATTAAACATTTAGTCACCCTTAATATAATCATTTAAGGGCCTACTAGACGAAAGTGTATTTCACAGAAACAAAGCTAAGTTGAGATGGAGACACAGTGCCTGTGCTCTGAAGTCACCAGAAAGCACTTCATCACCATAATAAAGATGGTCAAAGACTTCTGACCTCATTAAAAATAAGGAGTCATATAAGAAATGGCTTTATTAGAAAAAAATGTAGTGTACAAGTGGCTAATTTCTATCATCCATATACCTCTTGGCTATTTTATAGTTAAAATCTGATATAGGGTTTGAACTTCTTTAGAAGTTAGTGGCACTTCTTCCTATTCTGAAATGGACTTGGGGAAGGAGCTACCTTCATGTGATAGCCACTTTTTACTTATTTTCATAATTATGAGTAATCAGTAGTTTAGCACTGGCACAAAACATAGGGGGAATTACTTAGGTAGTGCTTTTTGTGTAGGATGTCATACTTCCAAACCCAGAATTAGGCACAGGTATGCCATCTGTAGAGTTTTATAGTTCCCTATTATCACTCAAATCCCTTATAATTATTACCTAGTAGTAATTAAATTAATGTGATAATCTGTAACCTAACAAAACCTCTGGATGAAGTTTCTTTCTTCTCCTTCTCTTCCTGTTAGATGTGCAATTCCAAGCAAATGTGCAGTGTGCAGTATTGATGTCCAGCCTCCTTTTAAACTCCTTCAAGTCTGTGCTATTAGACTGAGACAACCACATCGAGATAGAGTCTGTCATAGGATTCCCTGAAGCACAGAATGAGGAGAAGACTGAGCAAACACGACCCGGGAAGGCACCAGTTGAACCAAGACAACTCTGTAAGACAAAAACATGCAGTTTTAAACATTCATGTATCACCAGCAGGATACCACCTGTATGCCAGAAGGAATCTGCTCCGCATTCAAAAGTACTTATAATAAATGCACCCTGGAAGGCCTGAAACTGGCTTTCAATACACAATGACAATCTGAAACCAAGTGAGGTGTGTAATATATTACAGGGTTTTCATGTGGAATATTTTTATTTAATCAATATTGTTAATAATTTTTCATCAATTTAATCCACCTTGACTTTGGTTGCAAAATAAATTACTTCAAAGAAAAAAAATCAATCACCTTTAAATGTCACTTTGTTAATTATTTTTTAAGTGCCCTCTATCACTATCACTCTTGTCCCTGCTTAGAAATATGTGATGGATCAAAAAGACAAGAAAATCACCTGCATTTTGAGATAACCCTTTTATATGTTTTGGGTAGAAATAACCTATTTCTCAGCAAAAACATTAAGTAGAAATCACTGTAAAACAGATTAGAAAAGATATAGAAAAATATAACATAAAAAAAATCAATCATAATTCTACCCTCCAGAGAGACCACTGTGAAAATGTTGGCTCACTTCTTTCTAGTCTTTTCTTCTATGAGTATGAATGTTATTATGTATAATGCCAATTACAGGAAAACCTATAGGAATCATCTAGACAGGCAATTCAACAAGCATGTATCAAGAACATGCTTCTTCAAAAATGCCCTCTTGTGAACTGGAAAATCCCAGGCCACTTGTTACCAACACACACCACCCAACTGTGGCTGCCTCCAGCGGTTTCCTTGAGTTCCAGGGACCCTAGGATGGGGCACCTCTTCAGTCTTCCTCTGTCCCAAGCCTGCCAGTCAGCCCAAAGCTTCGAAGTGAACAGCTTATTGGCATAAAGAGGTTGGTGGAGGTGGTGGGTGACGACTTCTCTCATTTAATATCTATTTAGCAGTTTCAGTAAAAAAAAAAGAAAACAACCAGGGAAACAAGTGCCCTGGTGCCTTTTTGGGTGACTACTATAGGTTTATATTTTCCCTTTGTACTTCTATAAAATGCTAATCCTCAAAAGTCACCCTAAAGATTTCCACACTGCTGCTTTAGTTTAATCCATAATTCATATGGCTAAAAGAGCAATTTATGCTCGGGAATGGAAATCAAAAACCCGACCAGTAAGAAAAGGTGCTGTGATACCTTTTTTCTGTAATATACCCACAAAAGCAGTCTCTTCACTTCTCAATTACTACATTTAAAAAATCAGACATGTTATTCTATAGTATGTAACAAAGATGTATATTTCAATGGCGTTTTTATGCAAAACTATTTTCTGTGCTTTATTTGGATTGAATAGACTCTAAATACTTAGAAATGCTGTGACCTCTGGGATCTTATCTTTATTCTGACGTTCCCTGAAATGACACACCAGGCATTTTCTGCTTTTATGTTAACCATACAACCCCTGGATTTCTGATGATAATTTTAAAGGCAAAAAGAATCAGTAAAAAAAATACAAAAAAAAGCAGTAAGATATAGACAATAGCATACTGTTTGTATTAGAAAAGAGCACTTTGACTTTAAGGCTGAATTTTAAGCAAGAGATAAAAGTAGTATGGTACCTGACAACAACAGTTTACAACAATGGCACTTTCTAAATCTTAGAGACTGTATTATGGGGAGATAGAGCAACACACATAGCAACAATCAACTAGTCCTTGCTCTCCTTAAACTGAGAAACTTGTCAAGTATTGCCAAAACAGATCTTTTTATTTCAGAGTGTTATTATTAGAGTTGTAAAATTATTTCTTCTACGTAGGCTCAGATGAAATCTCCAAAAATGCCTCATAATTGCTCTTTAGTGTCACGGTTTGTTGACTGGTTTTTGCCATGTGCCTCTCTCTGAAAAGCCAATCCACCTCTCAGTAAATTCACCTGGCTCAATCAACTGCAAGTGTCCTTTGAAATTATTTGCCTTTTCAGAAAGCAAAAGGTCAGAGACAGAGGAACCTCGACATTTTCCTGCTAAAAACCATTCACATAAACCACTGCTCAGGTGCTCTAATAAATGGGAAATAGCTTGCTCAAGAAGTTAGTTTGCCTTAGCAGCAGCAAAGTCAACTGCTGTCCCTTCTTGGCCTGATGCCATATGACAGGGGTGGACTAACAGAATTCTGATCCATAGAAATTTTTGTATTCTTACCCTTTTTATCTTTGGAAATATGCAGTTTTCTAGCATTCCTTCCCTGTGCCTTTCACTAGAGGAAATGTGAACCCAAACACACTTGAAGCAGAGCTCTCAACCCGTCACGTATCCGCAGGGTCTCCATAGTCCACCACATGGCAGTCAGAGTCCTCTTTCTGCCAATTTGCAGTGGAGACAGGTGCTCGACTTGACTCAGTGACATGGGCTCTGCCTCAATTGGTGATGCTCTGTTGGGACTGAACTACTTGGGACTTTGCTCATCTTTACTTTCTTCTTCTGGAAACACTGTTATACTTTTCACCTCACCTTTCCCTTCAATGACACCATGCTTTCTGTTTCTACCACCTACAAGTACCTGTCTGTTTCCAGTTGCCACCCTCCAAAACAATTTTCTCCTTTCTCTGATGGTGACTTAACAAGATTGACTCCGTTCTCACTCAAGGTGAACAGTGAGTGGATCCCACGATTTCCCAGAATAAATAATGCCCCTCCCTTCATGCCACATTCATTACCCAGTAGGCCTTACTGTCATTATTTTACTTAGATATTAAGTATACTTTACTTCTTAAATATAAAATAGATGTAGGCCGGGCTCGGTGGCTCAGCCTGTAATCCCAGCAATTTGGGAGGCCGAGGTGAGCGGACTGCCTGAGCCCGCGGGTTCGAGACCTGCCTGGGCAACTTGCCGAGACCTCATCTCTACAACAAATCAAAAATTAGCCAGATGTGGTAGTGCATGCCTGTAGTTCCAGCTATGTGGAAGGCTGAGGCGGAAGGATCGCCGGAGCCCAGCAGGTCAAGGCTGCGGTGGCCGGGAGCGGCCATTGCACTCCAGTCTGGGTGATAGAGTGAGACTCCAACTCAAAAAATAAATAAATAAATAAATAAATAAAATAGATGTAAAATAGATATATTTTACTTCTTAGATATGAGGCTACTTCTCACCCATCCACAGCTGTTGAACCTGCTCTGTGTTCCCCTGGTAATCATGAGTCAACGCCTCCCACCTCAGCCAGGCCCCTGAATCTTTTGAACAATGCAGCTTCAAATTCATGGTCAGCTACTTTAAAATGAAAGAACTGAGGTAAAAGTCATTAGGCTTTTAACAAAAACCTGCTGCAAAGCTTCTAGAACAAAAAATAACTGATAATACCAACTTCAGAATATTAAACAGAATACATTTCAGAGCACATAAAGGCTGTAACAGCATTCTCAAATTGATTTTTTTTTTTTTTGAGTTGGAGTCTCACTCCGTCATCCAGGTTGGAGTGCAGCTGCACAATCACAGCTACTGCAGCCTTGACCTCCTGCCCCAGGCGATCCTTCTGGCTCAGCTTCCCAAGTAGCTGGGACTACAGGTGCGTGCCATTGTGTCCCACTAATTTTTTGATTTATCGTAGAGACAAGGTCTTGCCACGTTACCCAAGCTGTTCTCAAACTCCTGGGCTCAGGCAATCCTCTGGCCTCAGCCTCCCAGAATACTGGGATTACAGGCATGAGTCACCACGCCTGGCCTCAAATTGATCTCTTATGTAAAGTTATTAGAATAAAGCATTACTGTGCTATCTCATCTCGAGGTTCTCAAAGCAGACACAGAAAACAGCTCAGTTTTATAAATATGCTTATATTAGGGAGCACTTTTTGAAAGTGACCCTTGAAAATAGCAAGTCAGCAAAACTCTAAGAAACTTCTGACATGGTTCTAGGTACCCAAAACTTCTGACTGAAACAACACTTGGAGACCCTGTGACCCAGGGCTCCAAAATAACCCAGAGGCATTGGTATAGGAGACTGAATAACATTTGCTCTCAATGACCATGATGGCCCTCATCTGCAAGCAAATCACCAGAGGAACCTATCTAGTGAGACAAGACATTCTACTGTGGTCATTTTGGAGTAAGTCTGTACAACCCTGAAAAATTATCTGATTTAGTATCTACCAGATAGTACACTGTGGGAGGGAGAAAAAACCCTAGTCAGGAAGTTTAGTACTTCCTTGAGAAGTGATTCAGAAAACCACAGATCTTGCTGTGATTAAACATCAGGCCTTGTAATCATTCAACTAGTAGTTGGATTTTGACATGTGACTGACAGGTGAGTTTCTAAGTTTTAAAATTACTGAATTGTGACATTTGAACACTGGCTCTAATGGGAGGGAATTCCGTTGACCATACAAAATGTTTGGGATGCAGAACTAAAAGTTATTGTTGGGTAACAACTTTACAGAATTTTCAGATACTCAATGATGTATCACCACACCTCAGTCCACGAAGGATGTAAACCTCTGCTGCAAGACACAGGGCAAGATTAATTCATCAAAAGTAAAAAGAATTTCAACACAGACCCCGCAGTTCTAGCAACTTCAGCCTTAGAGGGACGTGGGGCATGTTTGTGTGTATTTATTGCACATACAAATACATATACCAAAACATTTCTTTCAAATAGAAGTCTAGATATTTAAATTATTAGCATCAGCAAGCAAATTATTTAGAAGAGACAAAACAAACATCGGTGGGTACCAGCTGTGCCCTGCACTAGGCTCTTTCACATGCATTTTTTTCATCAACTGTCTAAAATGTCAAAATGTTAAGGGATTTTATTTTCTCCCCTGAAAACAATCTTGATGGAATAAAATTATTTAGAGTTTCATTTTTTCCCCACAACACTCAGAGAGTTGAGGTAGAAAATTTTTACATCTATGCAGACATACAAGAAGAACATGTGGTATGAAATCAACCAAAAAGAGGGAAATTTTGTTTCCCTCAGCTAGATAGATCCCTGGTTATATCAGTGAGAAAGAAACTGGCAGAAATAGTGCTAAGTGTTTCTTCTGCTGCCTATGCCAAAGAAATAAAAATCTCTGCTTGTACCTGGTCACTATGAATTTGCAAAATGAGGAATGAGCACTGACTGATGTCAGTTCTAGTTAATTCATGCCAGACACCAATCTCTGTTGAACAAATCAACACTGCAGCTGGACCTAGGAGAGGAACAGATACTCTGCTGGCCAAGCAAAATGGTCAGGCAAGCACTGATTTCCTCTGCAACAAGACAGTTTAGGGTGGTTACTGTTATTGGTGTCTTCCCTGCCTTAAACTGATCAATAAATATGTGTTTGTTATATCCTAGAGACCATAAGCAAAAGGTATGCTGGGGCTAGGCTCAACAGCTCACACCTATAATCCCAGCACCTCGGGGGCTGAGGTGGGAGGATTGCTTGAGTCTAGGAGTTTGAGACCAGCCTGGGCAACATAATTAGACACCGAATCTACAAAAAAAAAATTAGTCGGGTGTAGTGGTGCATGCCTGTAGTCCCAGCTACTCAGGAGGTTGAGGCAGAAGATTGCCTGAGCCCAGGAGGTCAAGAGGCTCCAGTGAGCTGTGATCATGCCACTGCACTCCAGCCTGCGTGAGATCCTGACTTAAAAAAAAAAAAAGGGTTGTCGGAGGATAAAATTATCTGGCATTTACTGTTGTTGTTTTTAAATACTGGAAGGACAAAACTATTTCTAGACAACAGGAAAAACCACGGTTTCTCTGCTAAGCTGCAATGACCACCTAGCAAAGCTGTGCCCATCAGCTGGAAAACTTTCTATCACCTGAGGGGGCACAAAGCAATCTTTGATGCTTTACCAAGTAGAGAAGCAGTAAGCCGCTTGATTTCAATTGTGACACAACTGAAGTGAATTGAAAGAAAGCTGATATGTAATAGTTGTTAGATGATGCTGTTTAGAAAACTAATTGGAAGCAAAGAACTTATTCTAACATCTGGTGGTAGCCCATCTCCCTAATGGGAGCACATGTTTCCAGGATAGTGATCTTCTCATTTCATTAATATCACTCTCCTTCATATGATAACCCAAACTTGTATCAGGTTTAGCAAAGTTAAAACCTACTCTGTGTGCATTACTGATTGACAGAAACAATCTAGTTTGTTGTTAATTATATTTAGAAATCCATTACTTGGACACCTTTTGCTGTTAGGTGAAAGTGCTATGCCAGAAGTTGCCCAAAGGATGACTCTGTTTTACTGGCTTTTTAAAAAAAATTTATTTACCAGTCAAGAAGGTCAGCACAGTTATTATTTCAATTATAAGCCTGTCAGAAAGATTCCTATAAACATCTGAACTCATGAAATGTCCGATTTTAAAGCATCTCTTACACTGGGTGACTTCCTTTCATTAATCCCTCAGGCTTTAAACTCCATATACACTATATACCCCTGACATTTTATACCCTGTGTTAAGATGCTAGATTCTAAGTAGTTTCTAAAAAGCAATATGCCAGTGGTTCTCAATGAGAACCTGCATATTAGAACCATTTGGTAGGGTGAGGGTGGGTGAATTTTAAAATTCAAATGCTAAGCCCCATCCCAGGTTCATTCAGAAACTCTGGTGGGGGGGGGGTCAGAATACATTTGGGCTAGAATACATTTCAAGAAGAACAATTATGGATATCTTCTTTTACTGGCAGTGAAAGCTCATATAAAGTAATTTGCCTCACTGAGAATTTTCCATACCAATATCTGATATAACAGTGCCACAAACTTTCTCTAACACATTTAGATAGTAAATAAAAAATTTCTTACCTGTATGATAAAATGTGAGGAAAAATAAAAGTACTCCCATGAACATATTACTTAAAAAAGTCACAACTCCACAAGTAATTCCTTCTGGAACTGGGTAGACAGTTTCCACAAAAAGCTCAAAAAATATAGGTACGCTGCTATTCAAGAATACTCCAAGGAGAATACAGGAGGCATACAATGTCACTAAAATAAAAACACAAACATTTTAGTTTTACAGTAGCAGCAGTGAGTCACATCAGATGGATCTTCTGGGTATTCTCTTTCATGAGTAATAACTCTGGAATTTCAACTCTTTTCAGTTGTAGTTGATGAAGTTTGACAAAGCATCACACATTTGTCAACTCTTTGCTCAGGTCTTCTAGAGTAGGCAGAAAAAGGTTTTGTTGCTGGTTGATTACTAGTTTATTTGCTTTACCTTTTTGGTGGATTATTCCAAAGCACAAAACAAGTTACTATTGTTATAGAATTAAAAGGATTCTGCCCCTTGGCCACACTCCTGGCAAACAGAGGGATAAATAAAATACAGTAATTTAATTTGAAATCTAGACTCATTTTATAATTATAAAGAGAACTTAAAATCTAAGAATAAATGTAAGAATCATTAAATGCTACTGGAAATTACATATTTAAAGAGGCTGGTTAATAACTGCTTTCAAGCACAAAACAAACACTATTCAGTATGTAATTTCTGGACAGGCACTTAAAATGAGTTCTCAAATTTGGAATGAGTTTTGTGTCAACAGTTTGTTTTAAAATAAGTACCTTTTTTGGAATACAGAAAAAAATTTCACCCAGAAATGTACACTTAATACTGCTCAGGATCTTAGATTAGCTGATAAAAAGTCTACTAGATTTGTAGCAAAAATCTACTGAATAAAGATGGCATTCTTATAAGAATATTTAGGGCACTATATATACCCCACTCCAAGTAATTTTATCATTTCTACTACTGTCTGCCCACAACTTTCATTAATTTTAATTTGAAGCTGAAAACAGAATCAGTGAGGAAAAATGATACTCTGTTTAGAAACCTAAAACACATTTTTTTATCCTAATAAGTATATCATATCTGCTGACAATAATGAGAACTTATTCTATAAGAATATTACTATTCTTATAGAATATATATATATTATTCTACAAGAAAAATATTCCTAATAAAAACATTTGTAAAGAAAAAAATTTCTGTACAGAAACAGCAGAAAGCAAGTTATGCTAAATTTGTTATGATCATTCGTGCATTCATAGAACATTACCAGAATTCACCATAACTGATTACAATAATTAACAGTCCATGTCACTGTTGAAGGGGTAAAAAAATAATAGTATCTACTGATTTCTAATAGAATTTCCCTAATTAACCTCCAGTCTCACTTCTCGCTCCAATTACACTAGCCTTTCAGGATTATAAAATATTTAGTATATTCTAATAAAGCAAATAGTTGGTAATTACTTTGACTTTTTTTTTGGAAGACATATGAAAATAAAGAACAAAACAATTACTTAGTGAATAAAGAACTGTTGGCTAATGTAGTGACTAAATTATTCACACAATTACATGGGAAACATCTGATAGTTACAATAAATACCATTTAAAACATGTCATAATATTCGATAGATTCTTAAAAGCAAACCATAACCTAACACTCCATGCTCACAATATATTTGATAGTCATAAACCAATCAACATTTTCTACTTACACATGACTTATTAGTGGTACATTAGGAAATCTAGGGATGGCATATCACTGGTAGCCTTTATAAAGTATTGTATTTCCAAAACACTTTATAATAATTTATTGATCAGTCAGTGGTAATCAGAGCAGAGAGGACTACTGACCCAAACATAGATGAGCCTAGGAGTTTAAAACAAGAAAATATTGAAGTAAATGAAAGGAAAAAAAATCAAGCTCGTTAGGACCAGCAAGTGCTACTTCTGAATAAAGACTCATAAACTACTTACTGGTGGAATTAGCTGTTTTTAGGAAACATGTTTAGAAATTATTATTTCTACTTTTTTATGTCTGAAGGACGCACAGCACTACATGTAATTTGTTTTGTTTTTAGAAACATGTCTTGCTTTGTTGCCCAGGCTGGTCTTGAACTCCTAGCCTCAAGCAATCCTCCTACCTCAAACCTTCCAAAGTGCTGGGATTATAGGCAAGATCTACTGCACTGGGCCTCCTATGTGTAATTTGTAATCAGGCAAATGAAAATGTAATACATGAAAAATAATAATGTTTATAATAGGATAACTGTATGTGGTAAAAGAAAGAATGTATAAAAATATAGTGATAAGGACACAATGAAAGGGAACTATTAGTACGGACTCTTTAAAAGAGAGATTCGATTTTACTGATTTTTATCAAGCATGGTACAAAAAAGGAGATGTGAGATGTGACCAAAGAGTCTAGGCTGGTGAAGCAGAGGGCCCTGTCTGAAAACCCTTCATGACCAGGAAACTCTTGGCCCTCACTTCACTCTCATGAATAATCTTTGCATTTTGTTTTGCTAGGTATATGAATTCTAGGAGGAATTTGGAAGAAGAGGCATAACTGTCACTGGAGAAATAACACTTCTATTGTGGGTAAACAATGCTGATGGATCCGTGAATAGTTCATCTTCTGGTAAGTAATTTAGAAACATCTATCAACATAAATAATGAGATTATTCTTTGAACTAGCAATTCCACAACTAGAAATTTATGCTACAGTTAAGCAGGTAGAGTATTAAAGAACACTCACCCAAAAATTATAGTATGAGAAGATTACAAACAAGCTAAATGTATACCAATGGGGGGCTGATTGGTTAAAAATTTATAAAACATCCAAACAAGGGCATATTATACAACGATTAAAAATAAAGCAATTCTGTATGCATCAATAATATTACTGACCAATAATATTACTAACATTAGGTGAAAAAGTAAGGTGCTGAAAAGTGTTTTATATTTTTTTATAAAGGGACACACATTGTGTAGTTTGTAAATGTATAGAATTCTCAGCTGGGTGCAGTGCCCAGGCTCACACCTGTAATCCCAGCACTTTGGGAGGTGGAGGCAAGAGTATTACCTGAGCTCAGGAGTTCGAGACCAGCCTGAGCAACATGGCAAGACATCCTCTCTTTAAAAAAAGAATTCTCTGGGAAAAATACAGAAGAAACTGACAATCAGGCTTGTCTCCAGAGAGAGAAATTAGGGGTCACACAGGAAAGTAGAGACTTTTCAGGGTATACTCTTTTTCTACTATCTAAATTTGAATTTTTCCTTGCTATGGATATATCTTACTTATTTAACAAAATAAAAAGAGAAATTTCATTGTAAACTAATGTCTACCAACAGGGGGCCTGGCAGATTAAAAATTTATACGACAGCTGATACAACTCAGTTCACATGTATCTGTTAGTGCATTACCTCAGAAATGGTTATCACTGCACCGGTGAGCTGACCCAAAGAACTGATGCCTACACCCAGAAGCTGTATAGCCCAGCCTTGGTGCAGGATCCTTGACAGAGATTTCCACTTCATTTATCAGAATTCCCATCATGTAGGATAAATTATATGCAGGATAAATGGATGATAAAACTGCAGAGGCCAGTAATAAAAATATTTAGTATTTTCATTCAGTTATCTCAGTGCTTGCTTCTTGTGTTGCTATAAAAGTGATGACCAGAGTTTTTTTTTTTTAGACTGGATGGATATGCAGAAATCACTTGTAATTGCAGAAACTAAAGATTCATGAAAGGGTTAAGTTGCGACCTTCCTAATCAGAATGGGGGAAGGCAGCTATGTCGGGATTGATTTAATATATATGCCACGGTGTTCTGGGGCATGCACACAGTAGAAGGTGATGATTACAAGTCTGAATTTGACTTCCATTTGAGTTTTCAGTTTTGTCTCATACATCCAGTGGGTGAATGTCATCTATTAAAAGTCAGGCAGACAAGATAATTTCCTACTTGTCAGAGAGGGTTCAAACTACATGATCATTAAATATTTCCATGACTTTCCATAATACTGATACTAAAATTATAATCAACTGCCTTTCAATTAAAAAGTCAAGGTAATTTAGCAGAATAAACACAATTGAAGTGCTGATGCAGTTTTTTTCCCAAGGAAGCTAATAAAATTTCATGGGTCCACAATTTAAATCGCAAAAAACACAGTACTATGTAACACAAAATAGTTAAAATGAATGTATTTCAAGCACATGAATTGGATCATAACCCTTAAAGTATGCCTCCCCACACTTGCTCCCAAGACAAACAAAATTACTAAAACTTTGGAAAAACACAACTTTGTTTAAATGCATTTTACTAATGAAAACATTCAGACCTTAATGATCAGCAGTTATTTTTTTAAAAAATCACAAAATTTCAGAAAAGAATAAGAACTAGCCAGGCACACTGGCTCAGCTTGTAATCCCAGCACCTGGGGAGGCGAGGCGTGAAGATTGCCTGAGGCCAGCCTGAGCAACATAGTGAGACCTCATCTCTATTTAAAAAAAAAAAAATTGAAAAAATTAACTGGACATAATTGTCCATGCCTGTAGTTACAGCTACCTGGGAGGCTGAGGTAGAAGGATTGCCTGAGCCCAGGAGTTCAAGGCTGTGGTGAGCCATGATAGTGCCACTGCACTCCAGCCTGGGTGACAGAGTGACACTCTGACTCAAAAACAAAACATCAACAACAAAAACTATCCCACTCAACATCTAATAAGATTCTCAATATGCTATCAATGACAATAGCAACTTCATAATCTTGAATTAATATAACTTTAAAAATATCTTTAAAACTACGCTCACATATATAATCAAATTTGATTATTTTACCAACTTTTTGAGGCAGGTAAAGTGAGTGTTTTATAGTTGAAGGGACCGAAGTTCTGAAAGTCAAGGACAGTTTATTCAGAAACAATGTAGGTTGGGTGTGGTGGCTCACACCTGTAATCTCAGCACTTTGGGAGGTGGAGGTGAGAGGACTGCTTGAGCCCAGGGGCATGCAGAAATCACTTGTAATTGATTTTGACGCCAGACTGGGCAACTTGGAGAGATTTCATCTCTATAATAAATAAAAAATTAGCCAGGTGTGGTGGTGTGTGCCTATGGTTCCAGCTACCTAGAAGGCTGAGGCAGAAGGATCACCTTTGCCCAGCAGGTTGGGACTGCAGTAGCCGTCCGTGAGT